GCTAACAAAAAAAGCGAAGGGAAAGACATGTAGATGTAGCCGGAGGTGCACCCTCTCTGCACACAGACCAGGGATGTGACTAGCCTTGCTCGCATTCACAATGCTTGGGAAAGTGCACTTGACAGATTTAACTATGTTAAAAGCTAATAACTTACCATTTGAGCTCCCTTTTGACCCATTTTAAAGTGGTGCTAGTTTTTACTATTTTCTGTTTTCTTTCCAACTGGGGATTTTCTTTATTTCATTTTGTTATTGTCGTTCGCTTTTTAAAAAATCTTTGTTTTGTATTTCTGTATGTTTTTCCATGTATGAAACCCATGATGGGTGAATCTATCCAGACAGTAACTGGATTAATGGTTCCTCGGGGTACGGAAGAGGGAGATTGGGGGAAATGGGGAGCTAGTAGCAAGGAGTACAAGAAAAATGAAAATGTTCTAAAATTGATTGTGATAATGATTGTACACTTCTTAATATGCCTGAACTATTGAATTGTATGATATTTGGATTATGCCCAATGAAACTGTCTCCTTCTTAGAGTGTTCTATGAGTCGCAATCAACTGGATAGCAGGGAGTTTGATTTGTTAGTTAACTCTTAAATTGGGCACTGCTCCTCTGTGTTACAATAGATGCCCAAATCACACCCACTGAGCAGACTCGGACCCACAGTGACCCTACAGGGCAAAGTAGACTGGTCCATAGGGTTTCTGAGGCTGTAAATATTTCTGGAGGAGGACTACCTTATCTTTCTCCTACAGGATGAGTCTAACTGCTGACACTTTGGCTAGCAATCTAAGCAATGCTCTGACCCATCACTCCCCAGGGATCCCACCATAGATGCAGCGGTCAATAAAATAGGCAATTTTTTTTTTTGCCCTTAAGAAGCCAGCATTTTTATGAGGAGAGGAAAAACAAAACAAGTAGGGGAGGGTATCAACCAGAGGCAGGACCATTGTTAAGATTGTTGAGTGATTTTTGAATAGGAAAAATATCTTGGAGTTCTAAGAAACTGTTAATTGGTAATCCAAGCCCAAACCCATGCAATATAGGGTTTCTGAGATGTCACTTCTTTACAAGAGTAAATAGCCTCATCTTTCTCTCTCAGAGCAGCTGGTGGGCTTGAGCAGTCCCAGGTGACAGGTGACCTCGCACTTAGCCATCTAAAGCTTAACCAACAGTGCCATCAGGGCTCCTTGTTAGTAAAACATAAAACTCAAAAAAGCAAACTGACTGCCACCAAGTCGATTCTGACTCAAAGCAACCCCATAGCACAGAGTAGACCTGTGCTACAGGGTTGTGGGTTTTAGAGCCTCTAAATCTATACTGAAGTGGAAAGCCTCATTGTTCTCCTGAGGAGTCTGGCATCTTCCAACTGCAGACTCTGCAGTTAGCAGCTCCATGCGCTGAAGAGGCATTCTAAAATTCTAAAGAATAAAGATGTATCATTTTAAAGAAGTCTACCGTTTCCTTTGTGAGTTGTGCTTCTGAAAAGTGACCTCCAGGATCCTCATGACCCCATTCATGTGCATGCTACGTTCCAGAAAACTAGACAGATTGGCTAGGCTTTACTGTGAGCATGCAGAGGCAGCTTTAACGAACACATTGAAGATAGTCTTTGGATCACTGCCAGAAAGACTGGCAGTCAGAACCAGGGCGGTATTTGAAAGTCTTTCCAAGAGCTTGCAGAAAGAGTAATGGGCTGAAATAAGTTTCTGTATTCCTATTCACTGGGGAGAAACAAATAAATAAAACAACTTTTGTATGAAAACTTTTAGGGTAACTCAAGAATTTCTCTTCCTTGCAACTATATACACTAAGTTAAAGTAATACCATTGGCTCAAAAAGAAGCTAGTTCTCTGAGCAAGGGAAAAGGAGATGCTGGAGAAAAGAAGCCATCTGTGGAGCCTCCCTGTGACTTTGCCTTTGACCATCCACATGATTGGGGCAGCTTTGAGTTGTCTGTCTTGGATGCTCTTGAAGCGGTCTCTTCAAGTGGAGTTAATGTCTTACAGGGATTTCCAGAAAGGATGCAAATGGAGGTTCAGTGCCACAAACTCAATGGTGGCTTCACCCTTTAAACAGTATGTAGTAACATACTGTTTAAACAGTATCTAGTAACAGGTCTAGACATGTGATTTCCATCCTGATTATACTACTAACGGGCTCCTCACTTTGCCATGACTTTTCTTTCTCATCTGTAAGAAGAGAGATTCGGTAAACACTAACTATAACTTTTGTATTACTAAGGAGATCTAGGAAAACCAGCTGCTGTGAATAAAAACAACCTCTCTAATAAGCTCCAGGTTCAGCAGTTATTTAGGGTTGCCTTACTCAGAGATGTCAATTGCATGGCATAGTACCCAACTCTCCCATTTGTTTTTGTTCTCAAAGACATCATGGATAGATCACCGTGCTTTTCCATATTGAGTTAGAACTCAGGATGAGAATCACCCCCCACCCCACCCCCCCACCCCCCTGCAAATGTTTTAACAAACCATGACCAAACAATTGGAGTTGGCACTCAAGTTGAGGACAATTTGCTATCTTAACATTAGAGACATGGCTATATTGACGGGAACAGCTCCCAGCACAGATAAGAAGAGCACTCACATCCTGTTAGCCAATTTCTTCCATCCCTAAAGTGTTCTAATACGTCCTCAGTTCTGCCTGCATAAAGCAGTTGTTGGTACCCCAGGCATAAACAAATGGACCAGCTTTTCAGTTAAAGAAGCTTAAGTGTATAGACTTCATTTCCCTACTTTATGTAGCCTGTCTCTTCCCAGAGAGAAGAATTTTATGTAAAGGAGATAAACTCGGACATTCAACAAGTAGAAAACTCAGTGATTTATATAACGTTTTGTATTTCATCCTGTCACCCACTCACTTTCTTAATGGACAAATAAACAAGAGGTTAGATCAAGGAATCTGTGCTTGTTCCAACTCTGAGGAAAAGCCCTAAAATGTTATTAGATAACTGTGATGAATTTTAATTTGATGACAGCTTGTGACCCACAAATTTCTGCTTAAAATTAAAATGCATTCAAAATGAAACTGGAAAGAAAATCAATATTAAGCTTGCAATCTGGTGTGATAAAACACCTACATAAAGCTCTATATTAAATATGAATACAATTAATTTCTATAGAGTGTCTTATAACTGAAATCTGAAAACTAGAACTCTTCAATATATTGCCTTATTAAATTTAAGTGGCCAGGATAATTTTTTTTGTTGCAAATTAAGAAGTCAGAGTCCAGATGGATTGACTTGGTTATGGTAATACACCCTTTGGCAGAGCTCCAGAGCTCCCTTTGGCTCATGCGTATAAGCTAGGACTTCAGACTTCCAGGTTTCTCCTTTGAACAAAAGTCCTTTATTTTTGTTATTCCAAAATGTTCATCCACAACAATTTATAAATATCTTCCTCCTGCTTATTTTTAAGTTTAGTTACTTTTTACCTATAATTACTCAAGGTACAATGAGTTTGAAATGCTCTGGCATTTTTGATAGATCAGTTATATCATTTCTAAACTTGATAATAATTGAAGCTTTGGGAAAGAGGGTAATGGATGCTTGTATCAGTACTACCACTAAACAATCATCTAAATAAAACAACTCAGTGTTTATGGTTTTCCTAAATTTCAACATTATTGTATGTGGTAATAACAAAATCACTATAGCTGTTTTCAAATAACTTAATGGCCAAAGCATAGCCATTTTCTGATTTTCAAAAGGTGCCAAAGGACTACAGAAAACCTCATAATTTGGCATCATAATTACAATTAAGGTGCGTACATAGTTATTGCCTTAATGCCCCTAGATATCACCTGCTCAAAAGATCCACAGCATTAATTAGAAGCAAGAAAACACCATACTTCCCTCCAATTACTGCACATATTTTAAAAACCACTCATTTTTAAAAGAAATTATCACAATAACTTTAAGACATTGGTATTTTTATTCACTGACCCTAGAAGATAGTACACACTAAATGAGTCTTAACAGAATGAATGAATGAATATGTATGATTGAATGACAAGCTAACTTAGGGAAAATGCCCACTCTCTGGTTGCTACAGGACTACTGCGTGGAAGATTGCTGTCGCAGTAGGGCTTGTAAAATCTCTCTTCCATATTCTATTTTGGCTCATGCGTGTGCAAAAAAAAAAAGATAAAAGATCCAGTCAATCAAGTTATTGCAATACATAGAGGCTCTATGTGTCAAAAAAAAAAGAGAGAAAGCAAGGTTTGGAGTGGCATCGAAATCCAGCAGGGTACATCCTAAGGTTTGTTTCTATACGGAACCCGAGATAGGCTTTAGTGGCAAATCTGTTCATATTTGGAAGCAGTCTCACTGACACTTTTGGCTAGAGCCCATCAAATCTGCTCCAGGGTTTGGTTGGGTTTTCTTTCCTGACAGTGGGCTCTGACCATGGTGCTGAAACAGAAGGTGGGACGGTAGGAGAGGAATAGCTATTTGAAACCTTTCCTGCTTCTTATTGGTTTAGAAATCTGAGTGACAAGAGCAAGGGTCAGAGGAGCCTGGGGCAGCATTACTGCTGGGAACCAAGTATGGTGATATTTAAGGAGGACCAATGTATCCAGACCAATACATCCATGTGAGCTCACACTAAGCCAAGTGACCATAAGCACATAGCCGCTGCAGTAGAAAAGGTGTCGTTGACAACCAGCATGCTGTCTTGTCCCTCTCCTGAAAGATTGGAAGTCAAGTGCATAACCTAGACACCGGGCCAGGAAGTCTGGATGGAAAGGAAGGGAAAAGGAAGCAAACCTGGATTCTTACTGAAAACGTTCCACATGGAAGGAAAGATTATAAGCTCAAGTTGTCTGCCTCAGTCTGCCAACAGGTGCATGATTCCCTCCCCCCTCCCCTGCCAGGTCGCGTCCTGCGTTCTTTGCTAGAAAAGCTCTTCCTAGAGTCCCTGAGCAGGTGCAGTTTCCCATCCCAGCAGCAGCTCCAGGTCTACGCCCTGCAACCCCTTACCTGCAGCGTGCAGATTAAGAAGCAGGCACAGCGCTGGGAAGCCCACTGCTTTCCGCATACTGTTAGCATCTGCAGGTGGAGGAGAAACTCCACCAGGACCCCACTGCAGGCAAAGTGCAATTGGCAAGAGCCACCGCCAAGGGTCCGCTGGTCTCCGGAGAGTCGCTTGCGGGTCTTCGGCTGGGGTTTGCAGAACCAGTTGGTGGCGCCGACAGCAACCAGCACCCCGGATTCACCTCCCTGGGAGAGCGAGCGAGACGAGGAGGAGATGGAGGCTGGCGAGTGGGGAGGGGCAGGAGCGCTCAGGGGTGGCTGACGCTGGGCCTGCGGGCAGCCCTGCAGCCGCGGCGGGCGGGAGCGGGGCCTCGGGGCGCGTTCCGGGGCGGCCCTGAGAAGGGTGGGCGCGGGAGCAGCAGCCCAGGCGCGCTGCCACTACTGAGCATGCCCAGCGCCCCCCGCCCCGCGCCGGCCCTCCCGCCGCCCGGGAGTTTCAAAGGGAAATTCCGCTTCTCCGGGTCTTAGCGGCGGCCGCCAAGGGAGCCGGCCCCGCGGCAGGGGAACCGCTTCTGGCGCTTGTGGGGCGGTGCAGAGGCTGTCAGAATGCTGTGCAGCAGGAAAGGGGCACGAAATGGAGAAATGACCTGGAAGAGAACCAATGAAAGTCTCCACCACATCAACCCCACCCCACCCTTCCCCCAAATCTTCCTTTGCACGTGGATATTGGGAGCTACTCTTCTGCTGGGACCTGGAAAGACAGGCTCCCAATAAGCACCTACAGGGACACATTACTTCTCTGGTGGCATTCCCAGTGAGCCCCCTGGCCTAGCTGGAGAGGCTCCCCAAGACAGCCTACTGTGCAACCCTGCAGCCTCCTTCCAGATACGTCTCCCCATCTATTTATCTGCCGATCCCAATTCCTAATCACATGTTGACGATAATTAAGACAGCCAGATACCTTCTCTTCGCCAATGATTATTTACAACATTTATCTAATTTTATCTCTTTTTAAGTTTTGAACACTCCTCGCTTGATTTCCACGGATAGTCACTGTTTCCTGTCTTTTCCGCCATCTCTTCGGTCATTTCTCAGTTGCTCCTGTGAGTTCCTTCAGTGTTATCATTAGTGGTTCGTGCTCTTTAGCGCTCACGTGCACAGTCTTCTTGTTCGCGGTCTCGTTGGAACCATTGTGAGGATGGCGCAAGATGGGGCAGTGTTTCTTTCTGTTGTGCATCAAGTCGCTGTGGGTCCGAACGGACTCAATGACCCCTAACAACAACATGTCCTGCAAACATATCCAAGAAATAGTAGATTCTTCAGGGAACAAAGTTCTGAAACTCTCTTGGCTATGACCAACTGCTTGGAGGACTCGAGGACTGAAGACTACAGTCTTGGAGGACATCTAGGTTAACTGCCATAATACAGTCCACTAAGAAAATATTTTACATCCTACTGAGAAACTTGTTGTGCACAGCCAGCTGGGCAGCAACTCTCTCCTCTCTAGGGTAAAGAAGCGTGAAGAGAGCCAAGGCTCAAGAAAACAACTGGCCCAATGGACGAGGGCCACATAAACCATGGGCTCCATTAGGCCAAGAGCAGAAGAACTGGTGTTGCTCATGCTCAGCAGCTGCAATGGATCAAGATCACAGCAGACTGTCTGGGCAGAGAGAGAAAACAAAAACAACAGAAAACAAAATTCAAATCACAATGAGCAGCCTTTCTGATCTGATGGAAAGGAGTGGAATCCCTGAAACTCGGCCCCTTCGGCACCCACCCCCAAGGATCAACTTTGAGCTGAACAGCAAACCAAACTATAAAGTGAATAGTAACCCGAGGGAGAAATAGTTCTTCTTCTTTAAAATGTTATTTTATTGGGGGCTCTTACAGCTCTTATCACAATCCATACATATATCAATTGTGTCAAACACCTGTGTACATATGTTGTCATCATCTTTTTCAAAATATTTTCTTTCTACTTGAGCCCCTGATATCAGCTCCTCATTGAGGGATTGCAACCAATGTTACAAAACAAAATGTGCACATATTGTTGGATGGAAAACCAATTTGCTTTGTAAGCTTTCATCAAAACAATATGTTTTAAAAGTGCCTTTTAGCTGTTGAGGTAAGTATCTTTCATTTCCATTTTATTCTGTAAGGTCAAAGGCAATAGGATCATGTCTTATAACAGAGCTTCTCTGCTGTAGAGTTGGATTCTAGGGAAGCTATTGCAGCCTGGCTAATGTCAGTTACAATTTGACGCCCTCCATGGCTATGTCTTTGGTGTGTGAAGATCCATATAAGTCTAATTCAGTGGCTAATTACTGGTAAAGTCCACAAGGTCTTCACTCAAACTCCTTTCTCCCTTTTAACTCTTCAAGGAACACTGATATTTCTGGCTCCATCTTCACGGGCACTGTTGTCCCGTTCTAATTGATTTCACTTGTGTTGCCACCACGCTGAAGCTTACATGAGTCTCACCTGGCCTCACGTTATGTAGAGAGCCTGGGGCTAACTCCACATAACAATAATGTTTTGCTTTCACATATGCTTTCATACACATTTGCTTAACTTTGCCTAATATTTTTCTTTCAGATAATTCAGCTAGCTGTGCATTGTCTTACAACACTACCGAAACCTCCATGAAGAACCTCCGCATCTTTGTCACTAAAATTGAATAATGCCATTCTAGGGAAATAATCGGCAGCAGTAAGTGCTCCTTGAATTGAGCTGCATATCTAATTGCATGCTTTCTTCCTCTGTCCTCTGTGAATTGGGACAACTAATGGGAAACATGCTACTCACCAGAGCTTAAATTAGAGAGGATCTCATAGGATCTGAAAGCTCAAATAGCATCACATTCTTTATAATTTATTTAATCAACAACAGTAAGAGACAAGGCCAGGAATTGTACCCTGATAGTTGGGAGAAGGAGAGATGTATTTTTGAAAATGTGAAAGGTCTTCCATGTCCTAAATGGTGATACATGTAGCCTCACTCTCCTCATTTCCTTAGTTGTCAGGGTCAGGCAGACGCCCCTCTGTAGTGCTATCATTTCCTCCAAACCCATGTGAACTTAGCTGCTTCCCTTAGTCCAGATTGCATTTCTTCTGCTCTTCCTTTACTATCACTTTCGAACACACCAAAGTAATTGCTTATTAAATCTGTTTATCTCCCTTCCCCAACCATAAAAGGTAGCCTCCACAGAGATAGACCTTGGCAAATGTTATTCACTCATGTCTCCTACTTTCTTAGAAATGGGCCTCATCAAAAACACATGCCCAGTGAATGAAAATGCAAGAACTTGGTTGGTAACTGAAGCTCAGGAGTAACAGCCTATTTAGAATTCTTCCTACATCGATGTTCCAGATCATTTATTTAGCTACGTTTAGAGTAATCCAATGGTTAAACATTCATTACTAACTGAAAGCTTGCTGCGTGGACCCAGTCAGTGGCACTGAAGGAAGAAGGCCTGAAGAGATCCTCCCTTAAAGACTACGGCCGAGAAAAGCCCACAGCGCAGTTCCAACGGAAGTATGACTGCAGGACACAAGGGTTGAAGCGGACCCGACAGCAATAACAAAGCTTAGAGGCCACCACCCATCTGTCTTATTGTGATGGCTGTCTGCTACTGTGATGCTGGGAGCCATGCTATGGGTATTTCAAGCAGCAGCAGGGTCACCCATGATGAACATGTTTCAGTGGGCCTTCAGCTTAAGAGAGTCTATGCAAAGAGGCCTGGTCAGCTACATCTGAAAATTAGCCCATGAAAACCCTATGAATCATAATAGAATAGGGTCTGACACAGTGCTGGAACTCCTAGGTTGAAAGGGACTCAAGATTCACAGTGGCCACAACAATGACCTTGAAGAAGACTGGGAGATGTTTCTATCTGTTTTACACATGGTCACCGGAGTTAAAGCCAACTCAATGTCAACTAGCAAAAACAAAGGAGTGACCCTTCTCATCTAACATCTGGTGGTAGAGCTGTTGGAGGGCTTAGTTGCAGGGGGGTGGTGGATATAACTGAAGGCTATTTACAGTGGTCTTCCCTTGTTTTCTTCTTTTTTTAAAAGAACTCATTTCCAAACTTACACATATTTCCACAAGAAAAAAAAATACAGTCATACTATTGAAACAATGACTACATTAAGAACCCAGACTCCTTATTTTCCCACAGATAATTCCAACATTTATTCCAGCATAAGTGGAACATTTATAGTTTCAGTTAACATAATTGGTTATAACTTTTCCAACAAGTTTTCTGCTAGCTATTTACTTTGCCCAGGGTAAGGGTAGCTGAATTATTAAACTATACAGAGAATATTTTTAGCAGTAAAAATTTCCTATGTCTAATTTGACTAGATCTATGAGGTAGTTAGTTTATTGTGCTAGCCTGGCCAATAAACACATGTGGGATTAATTGAAGGGCGGAGAGATAAATGGTTTGGTGAGCCTCGCCTTTCTTGTCTCTTGCTCTTTGATCATCGCACCAGTGTGCGGCTGCCTTGCTTGTTCTGTGCCTCAATTTGCAAGGTGCATTACCTGTGGACTGTGTCGCTGTAATTTGAGGTTCCTTCAAGACCTGCTTCATCACACAATTGGAACTTACATCTCTTGAGCTGGGGACTGATTGTTGGTGACCTGCCTTGCTGTTTGCTGCCTGTGCCAGGATAGCTTGAATCTCTCTACAGAGGACTACCTGGTGGCCCTCAAGATTTGAAGGACTGCCAGTGTCTCACAACTCTCTAACACATTTGAATTGTACTGAGCCATTTGTACTGCTTTATAATATAACTGTTTATTTCTTGTATTATATATATATCTGTATAACTGCTTAATAATTTAACTGTTTATTTCCTGTGTTATCTATCTATATAAATATATATATGATTATTAGCAATCTGGTTTTGTCTCTCTAGAGAACCCTGTCTAACACAGTCTATGACTAGAATAGCTAAGCGTGGTAAACATAACCTCACGTGAGCCATAATTTTGGTGACTAGACATTAATTATTAATTGACTGAGTAGGGAAAGGGGAGCAAGAAAAATTCATATTCTTTGGTGTGTCAATCTAATATGCTTCTAATCATTTTGATTCCATGACATGTATAATTGAATGGCATTTGGTGAATAAACCCATCCTTTGGAAAAAACAAAGAGTCCTGATGGCACAGTGGATTGAGCAGTGGTTTTACTAACTGAAAAGTCTGCTACTAGAACCTACCAGCTACTCTAAAGGGGAAAGATGAAGCGGTCTAACTCTGTAAAGAGTTACAGCCTTAGACACCTTACAGAGCCATTCACCTCTCT